GACATGCAATTTATCTCCAGGAGTGATAGTCTGCAAGGTGACCAGTCAAGCATGCTAGTGGGTTTATACATACAAGTGTATTCTAATGGCTATCACACAAGCTCATCAGTTTTTGGAAATATCTAGTCTAAGGTAGAAGCTGGTTTCACAGTCTCAAGGCATCAAACCACAACCCCTGGGCCACTGAGCTTTCCAAATCTTATTTCCATTCCAATGTTTAGGCAGCAGAGCCTGAATCCTCATCTCAGTACAAATCCCACTCAAAACACTATATTAGCATATGAAGCACATCTACTGGCTCCAGCACACAGCAAAAGCAGTTTCTGCCTGCAGTAATTTTTGCTACCTGCTCACTACGTGCACACATATTGATTGTGGAGACCCAGCCTGAAAGTGCCACAGCTCTCTGTCAATCCACAAGACCAGATTTCCTTTTTCTAAAGCTCAGGTGGAAAGAGGGAAGCAGAGATGCAGAATGAATACTGCACCTGGATCATGCGCATCCAGCTTCCCACAGTCACTAAACCCTTTTTCTATCCTCGTAATTAGCAATACTAACAACCTCATTAAATTGGTTTGGATGAATCTACTGTAGATGCCAATAAATTATTATTGTATATCATTATCATCTCATAACCTGAAAACAATCACATCTTCATGTTTCCGTTGACTTGTACTGAACTTCTGTCAGTTCAGTACAGTACAGTTCAGTACAGTTCAATTCGTGAACTCACTGCAGTAGCCCAACTCATCCACACTGCGACAAACCAAGCCAGCCTGAGACATACACTACATCTAGTTTAAGTCAGAATCTGTACACAAGGAATATCACAGACCTCACAGACTCACAGAGCATTTTCTTGTATTTAACAAAAAGCATTATTTGCTCCCGCACACACTAAAAACACAGTTACAAACAAACATAGATTTAAACCTTCTCAGACCAGTTAGTTACTATATTTGCAGTAATAGAAGTAAAAGGCTCAAAGACGACACTTGTTAGACATTTATAACTACGTTCTCCACCCTCAGACACAAAAGTTTCAATTACACTAGAGTTTAAAAGGCCAGAACCTGAAAATTCACAAACATTATGTAAGCTGTTATGAAATATGATCAAACACATCCTCATCCACTATGAAACTCAACTTTAATAGCAACGGTTTGGAAGAAAAATAAGTACTGACAGAAGTACAGACTTTTCATTTGTAGAAGCTTTAGAAGGGCTGAGATTTTCTATTTCCATTGATGTCAATGTGTGCTTTTTTTTTAATATTTGCAAACTAAGGACTGATACAAAAGGTCCTGCCTCACACAGAGGTCAAAAAAAAACACCAAACCCGTAAACGCAGAGCTCTGCAAGACAAGTTTACTCCCTTGTGCTTAGGCCTTTACAGCACCTCTCCTGCTGAGGCCGAGCTCTGCTCCTACCCTCTTACCTGTAGGCCAAGAAGGCCACCGGCCTCTGGTGCCCGTGTTCATCTGTCATCGACCCCACGCTGGGAGGTTCCACAATTACATCATATATAATCCCTGTGGAGAGAAAAGCAAGGAACACTTTTGACTCGTGAACAGCGAGCACTACCCCAGCACCGAGATGCTCAGGCTTGGACCAGGTTCCTCTTTTACCATCGAACTGGAGCCGGGCAAGGGGGAACTCTGCTGTCCGGGGCAGGAGCCAGCAGCCCGCTCGGCACCGCACCTCCAGCCCCACCGGCCCCGGCCTCACCTCCGGTGATGAGGAAGTAGGATACCACCACCAGCGCGTAAACGGTCATAGCCGAGGGCATGTGCACCCAGCTCGGCCGCTTCAGCTTGATGTTGGGACACTCGAGCACGGCGAAGGGCAGGCGGAACAGCGTCTCCATGGCGGCGGAGCGGCCCCGCGGACAGCCACTGCCCCACTACTCCCTGCCCGGCTCGTCCCACCGCGGCCGCCCTCCACCCGCGGACACGAAGGCGGAAACGGAAATCGGCTGCCGCGTCCTGACAGGGGTAAATTAGCAAATTTTTAAAAAGCCAGTCTAAACGAAAACCCAAAAGCTACTCCCGGGACGGAATGTCAGACATAAAGCACAGATTTTTTATTTTCGCTGCTCAAATACATCTGGAAACTCCGATCGCTTGTGGGAGGATCTACCCATCTTACTCACCTGCCAGGACCCAGCAGCCCTGACGTGTCGGTGCTGGGTAACGGAGCGGCGCTTGGGGCGGGGCCGGAGCCAGCCACGTGTCCGCCGCAGCTGGGTCCTGTCGCGCAGAGCAGGTGACGTGTTGCGCTTCTGAGTGCACAGGCGCTCGCTGCCAGCCCCAGTATGGAAGACTCCTATGGGCAGGTGCAATGCCAGCCCCGCAGCCGCCGCCAAGGGCCGGGAGCTCTCTTTGGGCGAAGCATCCCCAAGCATCGCGGCAGTTTCCTGGCAAGGGGGAGTAAAAGCCACGTCCCGCTCATCAGCTTGCACAGCCGGGCTGGGGAGACACAGGTCCGAAGGAAAGAAAAAGATCGGTAGCACGGCTCACCAGATTCCATGTGTTTGCAGGAGCACAGGGCCGTGATACCCCTTGGCTGCACTGTGGGATGTAGACTCCGTTGTCGTGGCTTAAGCCCAGCCGGCAACCCAGAATCACGCAGCTGCTCGCTCACTCCCTCCCACCTCTTCCTCCCTCCCATTCGGGGGGATGAAGAGGAGAATCGAAAGAATGTAACTCCCATGGGTTGAAGTAAGAACAGTCCAGTAACTAAGGTATAACACGAACCGCTACTCCTACCACCAATAATAATGATAAGGGAAGTAACAAGGGAAGAGAATACTACTGCTCACCACCCGCTGACCGATACGCAGCTCAAGCTCAACCTGAGCAGTGATCTAGACCTTCCAGGTAACTGCTCCCAGTTTATATACTGGGCATGACGTGCTGTGGTATGGAATATCTCTTTGGCTAGTTTGGGTCAATTGCCCTGTCTCTGCTTCCTCCCAGCTTCCCCTCCTCCCTGGCAGAGCATGAAACTCAGAAAGTCCTTGGTCAGACTAAACATTACTGAGCAACAACTAAAAACACCTGTGTTATCAGCATTGTTCTCAGGCTGAAAGTGAAAAACACAGCACTTCACCAGCTACTAAGGAGAAAATTGATTGCTACTGCTGAACCCAGGACACCCATCCTTTCCTGGCTGGGGCAGAGCCCAACAGCCACACACTGGGACTATGGCAGAGGGGGGGATAAAGTGCATTAATCCCGCCCAGCAGCCACGGACAGCAAGCAGAGTACCTGCCTGTACCCTAACCATCTTACTCCTGTAAGGGTACTTACAGGAGTGTTCTGGGTTGCCGGCTGGGCTTAAACCACAACAGTTCTAAGAAATCATTTCCAGCCTGAGCCCTTGTCTTGGGAGAATTTCCCTCTCAACATTGTTATCCTGTGAATAGAATTTTATGACACTTCTTCCAATTATTCCAAAAGTGTTCTCCTTCCACTGTGCTTCTTTACCAAAACCCCCAAGGAAAACTAATCTCCCAGCTTTTCATGTAAAATAGGAGCACTTCTGAGGCTGATTAGTTATGCCTGCCCTACCTGCTACTTCTGCTTTAAGAACGTTTTTCCAGCACACCAAAGCACTGACTTTTGTACTGGCAGAGTAAGGCAGCAACTAATTAAATTCTAACCTTGTAAATTATAGTAAAGACACCTAAAAACATCAGGGTACTAATGTTAATCTTAAAACCTCTTTTAATCAGCTACAGCCTTTGGAACAAGTTTTGGCATAACCCAAGCTGACGAGAAACAAACATTAGTTTGGGGAAACATTTATGCATTTTGAGAGTATTGACAGAATTATTTTAATGCCTTGGGACTGTAAATCCATTATTCTTGGGGAGGTACAGCTCCTTTCACCATGCACAGCATTAAGCCAGTTAACCTGGACATCAGTCCCTTCCTGCCATTGAACCCAGGGGACACCAACACCACAGCTGTGAGTCTGCAGGCAGGTGACCCCAGTACCAGCTTGCTGCCACCAAAGGGCAGGTCTTTTCCTGTGATCTGTTTCCTAGCTGACTGTAAAGACTGACAAGCTTCAGGGACAGGCATGGTGGGGAGACAGCACAGTCCAGAGGAATGTGCACACATCCCTAGGAACCACAACCTGAGCAGATCCACAACTAATCCTCAAAACCTCTCCAAATGGCATCCTCACTGCTTCCAGTAAGTCTGGGTGCTCAGTAATTATTTCTCCTCCTTCCTTATTCCAGTGGTGGAGCTGAAAGGTCACTGCTTTTTGAAAAAATGGTTACTAGTAAAAATAGATACCCACTTCTTACCAGATATTAAGACTAGTTCCAAAATTCAGAGCTGGAGTGAGGAATACCACTGCACCTGCAGTTACTGCAAGAATAATCCGAAGTGCATTAAAGCACATTTACAGTTCTTCCTACAGAACAGAATGAAGCCAATGACAGTCTGTTCTAGCTGCACTCTGGAGCTCTTCTTGAATCATATATCCAACTGCTGACCCACAAAGCACCTAACGAACAAAGAGAATAAATACAACAGGCACAGTTTTCTTTCAGGAGACCCAGATGCAGCAGTATACAGCTGCCTGGTGGATATGGAACTGGCTTTGAGAAGTCAAGCAAGCTATTCCTCCCACCCTCAGACTCGAATAACTAACTAGCACATGCTTCTAAAAAAAAAAAAAAAGGTAACTACCTTACACATATATTAGCTCTATTCTTCATCTGACAAGCTATCTTCCAGTCCTTAGTTTTGTTTCCTTTTCTTTTTCAGATTACTCCCTTTCTTCTGAGTAAAGTCGTCTGATGACTTCATACAACTGCTTTTTAACCAGAACTCCTTCTACATGTTTGATCTGCCAGTCTGCACACAGCACAGGATCCTGACTTATGAGATTTGTTGCACCGAACCCCAGGTTCTGCATTATACAAGCTGTGAGAGGCAGCTCCTATCAGCTTTGTCTAGCACATGGAATGACTGGACACAAGAAAAGTGGAGCTTTCATTTATTGGGCTGAAACTGCAGTAAGATTCACTTTGACTTCTGGCTCTGTGCCTGTGCCTTCAACACTTTCACAACGATCTTCTGCTCCTCAATAAGAAAAGCTCTTTTGATTCTGGAAAGGAGAAAAAACCAACAAAACTTTAGGACATGTATCTACTTAAGTGAAAACACAAAAACCAGAATTATAATTAGTTCTGCTGTCTCCAACATTAATTACACATGTGGTGTTAGCTTCAAAAGTACATGAAAAGCAAAACCATCAATGTGCTTTGTCAGCATCAAGAGACAGGGATAGTGAACGAATGCATGAACGCAGCAATCTGCGGAAGAAGGCCTAGTGCATCTGCAAACTTACGGTGAGTGGCTTGTAGGCAAACAAGGTAACACCTGATGGCTGAACCCTGGAAAAACTCCCACCTCCACTAACTTCAAGGGCAAAATCAAAACTCCTCACTCACAAATTTAGGCATTCTTAAAGTCAGAACTGGTGTGACCAATTGCAGTCAGCTCTCTTCCCTGGAACTACAGAAAACTTTATGCGAGTCCAGTTACCAAAACAAGACCAGTTCCTCTCAGGATTAAAGCTCCTATGCATATAAAGCTCTGGCAGGGCAAGCCATGCCTGAAGATAGTTGTCTCTGAAAGACATGTAAGGCCACCATGCAGACGGACACAACAGCACTTATACACCAACAGCCCACTTGACAGCTTTGAGTTAAAAGCACAAACACACCACTTCAATGCTGTTCCATGTGCATTCTGTATATATGGCTACTTCTGCAGCACACAAAACCTACCAAAGACGCCTGAACAGATGCAGAATAAGGTGCACTTTAGGCAGAATAAGAATAAAGCATACTCATGTACTAAAAACGACCTACGAAGCTCATAAAGTGTTTGGGAAAACATGCAGAAAAAAGACTGTCTTCTAACACTGGGAAGCTACGCTACAGATCTGCAGCTGTAACAACTAGTCTCCAGTGGCATCTAACATGATTCAACTTAAGAACTCACACAAGAAAAAAGAGTGCTGGCTAGATCTGTACAACAGATGAAAGAACTGGCATTAGATTGCTGGCTCCAGAGATATGCTTTGATTACCATTTTCAGGGATGTCATTCTTTGTAATACATGTTTTTCCTCAAACTTGCCAAGTAAGTATAGGACATACAGCTGTTACATAATAAAACTGAATTCAGTGACATCCAGCAAAGTCCATCTTAAAGCTTAACCATATAAAGATGCTTATATGAAATCAATCAATAGCTCTGAATCCCAAACTGCATAAACAAGCCTAACTGATCTTACACTAGTATCTTTGCAGAATACAGGAGAGCAGGCCAACAAGAGAAAAACCTTTACTTTGTGGGCTCAATATAAAATATAAAAATCCAGGATAAGCAGAGTGTTTACCACCAAAACAACAGTGCAGTAAAAAATAATGAATAACAAACTTGCTACAGAGAAGTTCCACAGCAGGAATTAGCTCAAATCAGAGGGATAAAATTGCATGCATCACTACTAACGTGCCTCATGCCTGACCCTCTCATTTTACTATATCAAAGCCAGACACGTGTTTTCAAAGTTTTGGTCCACACTAAGAAAACACACAAGATGTAAAATGTCATGCAAAGTACAAGAATAAAGCCGGCTTTCTTAAGCTTACCTGTCACGGACACACTTGGCACACATGGAACCACCATAGGCCCTGCTAACGTGCTTCTTTGTTTTTGACAGCCTCATAAGAACTTTAGGACGCACAGCACGAACCTACAGAAATCAAAAAATGAGAAGCGTATCATAAGAGAGTACTTTGGGGGTGACAGCAGTATCAAGAAAATTCACTTTAATAACTTAAAATAGCAACAATACCTGAAGTTGGCTATTCAAGATGCAAAAAAGTAACTGAAATCGCAGCTTGTAATATGTGCCAACTTCAGTATTCCTAAGCTGATCTTTTCATTCTACCCCAGGATTTCACCTATAGATTCATTAAAAAAAAGTAAAATTAAAAAAAAAAAGACTGTTTTCCCAAGGGTCTGCTGGGAATATTGCTCAAATATTGATATTACTCAATACTGCTGAGTACTGACTGATCAATACTCCTCAAATATTGACATTACTCAAGCATTCCTACCACTGTTAAGAGCAACAGTGTTACATCAAGAAAACAGTTTGGAGAAAGACATAATTTTAAAAACATTCTTTTTTCCTAAAACTGAAAGCCAACCTAGCAAATCCAACCTAAAGATTTCTAAACCTGGTACAGAATCACCTCAAAGAAAACTTCAGCCAATTGCATCTTATAAAAACACAAGAGTTCAGATATAACAGCAATGAGAATCACAAGCAAAAGTGATTTCTGTGGAAGAACTTAAAAAAGGCACTTATTCTTTTAGCTTTCATTTTACCAGTTAAGTTTTATAATGTTTGGATAAAAACATTTTAAGAAAGTTTTTCCAACAACAATTAATCAACAAACAGACATACTATATTACATACAAAGACTCTCTGTAGGGGAAAAAAAAAAAAAATTAAAAGTCATATGCCAGCAAAGCTAAGACTTACACCACGAAGTCTTCCTGGACAGATACCGCATGCTGACTTGGGAGCCTTCCCCACTTTCTTGGTGTAAAGGTAAACAATCCTGTTCCCGGGTGTTCGGGACCTAAATATGGCAGAAAAATACAGTTAACATAACAATCAAAACTTAAACTCTGCTTTCTCAAAATGTAGGTTAGGTTTTCATCAAAACTATGTCTTACTTACAGTCTGGTCTTGTTGGAAGCTGTGTTGTAGGACAACCTACGGCGGTAAGTCAGGCGCTGAACCATTTTTTACACCTGTATTAGTCAAAAATAAAGCAGTACTACTTTAAAGGCTCAACATCCATATGGAAGTTCACATATTACATTCACATGCACTGAAGCACTGGGCAAGATCCAAACCAACAGTTGCTGATTCTGTATTAAAAGAATTAAGGCATTTCCTCATCAATGACAGCTGACAAAACTACACTAAAACCCAACAAAATAGGTTGGCAGATAGAACGTGATTTGTGATGAAGGTTCATGTGAACTAATCTGAACACAGTTCAACATCCTGATCCTGTCTGTATGATGTCACGCTCCCCTAGAAAACTGCTTGAAACTTTAGCAGCTGTGTATTACCTAATCAACACAAGCTCCACTGGCAAGACTTAAAGCCAAGATGAAGCAAACACTACCTTCTCCAACCCTATCTGGCAGCAAGCTGTATTAACCACACTCCAGACCGAAACCAGAACCTTCCCCGGGCAGAACTACAACGCGACGAGGGCAGCGAAACCCTCAGAACCCCGCTCCTACAGCGGCGCAAGGGAGCAAGGCCCCGGCAGCCGTAACAGTCCCGCAGCTCACACCCGCTGCCGAGCCTGGCACTTCTTGGGCGCCGGGCTGGTGGGAGGCGAGGCTCAGCGCCGCAGCACCGTCTCGGTGCGGCCCGGAAGACACGGGCTCCTCTTGGGAGCCCCTCAGCAGAGGCCCGGCCTCCCCGCCGTACAGCTCTGGCCCCTCCACCGGCCCAAACGCGGGCCGCAGTGCCGCCGGCCGCTCGCCACAACCGCCGAGGCCTCTGACCGCTCCCCACCGCCCGCCGAGTCGCGGATGGGGGTGGATGAATGCTCACAGAGCTAGGGTACACCCGCCATACCTGGTGCCGCCGGACCCGGAAGAGGAAGCTGAACCGCGCGGGTCAACATTGAAATAGTGACGCTCTGAAACGCGGAAGGAATAGTGGTGCATGCGTGCTGTGGCTTGTGTTGGCCCGGTTGTATAGGTGCCGCCATGTTGTACGGAATCGGAGGAGAGAGGGTAGTGCCATGTTGTACGTCTGGGGCCAGGCGGGGCGCCGCTCAGTGGCAGGAGCGGGGAGCAGAGCCGGCGGCGCGGCCAGCGGAGCTGGGGAAATAGTGTGAGCGGATGTGGTAAAGCACCACAGACAGAATCACAGAATGATTCAGGAGGGACCTTACAGATCACGCAGTTCCAGCCCCTTGCCACGGGCAGGGACACCTTCCACTAGACAAGGTTGCTCAAACCTGGCCTTGAACACTGCTAGGGATGGGGCAGCCACAGCTCCTCTGAGCAACCTTTGTCAGTGCCTCAACCACCCGCAGAGTGAAGAATGTTTTCCTAGTGTCTAATCTAAATCTCCCCTCTGTCAGTGTAAAGCCATTCCCCTTGTCCTAGCACTACACGCTGTTGTAAAAAGTCCCTTACCAGATTTTTTTGTAGTCCACCTTTAGGCACTAGAAGCTGCTCTAAGTTCTACCCAGAAAACTTAGAACTTCTCCAGGCTGAGCAAGCCCAGGTCTCTCAACCTGTCTTCATAGGAGAAGTGCCTCAGCTCTCTGGTCATCTTCATGGCCCTCCTCTGGACTCAGTCAAGCAGGACCACATCCGTTCTTATGCTTGATTTCTCCGCTTTCCCCCGGGATCCTGTGCCCATGCTCTCTTTCTTCCCCCCCCCTTTGGAGTTCTGTTTGGTTTTGGTTTTTTTTATGCTTCACTGAAAAACTTTTTCTAAAATATTAGCTTCTTTCCTCAGAAAGAACATTTTGTTCTTTGTTATGATAGTTATGTACTTGAAGGCCCATAAGCCATTTCTCAGACTGCTGCTCTCAGTTCTAAATTACAAGTCACTCGTACATGAGTTTGCACGCCAGACTGGCAGATAACACACATGGGCAGGCACTCGAGCAGGAACATAAAGATATATAAATGTTTCTCTGCTGGTTGGAGCCACCTGACCCAAAATTCTATTTCCAAGCCGTAAGTACCTAGGAAAAGCATAGGGGAAACATAACAAGGCTAGCTGATCTTTCCCGTAATACACCCTCTCTACATTCAGCAGTTGGCATCGTGCAAGGTTGCTGAGCTGGGTCGTGTTCTCTGGCTATCGTATTTAATGGCCTCTGGTAGATCCCTGGGAAAAAAAGGGAACAGAAACGGCAAGAGCTAATGGAGCATGGTTAGTCAGCAGCCAGAAACAGTGTTCCAGTGGTGCCAGATCTGCCAAGTCTGCAGTTATTAAAACAAACACAAAGAGCTTCTCCTATCGACCCCTTGCAATTTCATTAAGCACTACTTTCTCAGGAAGGAAAGGAGGAACTCTCTCTGGAAGGAGCCCCACCTAACTACATGTCTTCTCCCAGATGTTTTTTTTCAGCTCTCATCCGCACATGCAGGTCCCTGACAAAGCACATTGACAAGCAGAGCTGGCCTCTGTGTTCTGAAATGGGTGCCTGGATGGTGATAGGAAGTCCCCCACCATCCATCTGTGGCCTCCCTAATGGATCCTGCCACATGGCACTGACACATCAAAGACTGAGAGATTTTAAAGCACAAGTTTCCATCCCTTCTGTTCCCCAGTTCCTGCTGCTGGTGGTAGTCCCACTCTGCCACACAAAGCTCATTTCCTCCTTCTCACAGTATGGGTGAACACGCTGTGGCCACTGCTGCAACTGATGCTGACTTGCACGGGCAAAATCTTCGTACAGTATCAATTGGAAATCACCATCTGTGAGAGGCCCGGGACCAGGCCCACTGTCTGTAAGACCTGAAATGCTCCTTTGCTCCCCTGGCCTAAGCAATGTTCTACAAGTTAACCAGGGACTGAGTATTAAATATGTAGGATGTTGCTGCCGTCGTTAGCAGCTTCAGCTTTGCTTTTGGAGAGTAGCGGGAGCTCAGAGAGCTTTGATGTGTGCTCCTGGCCTTATTTACTGGTTTGAAAGTTCATTGTACTGCATCCTCTCTGTTTTCGATCTATAATTATTATTTTGGTTAATTATTGAGTCTTTTTAAGTGCAAATTATGGACACCAGAATTTTTCTAATTCATGAAAGAAGAGAAAATATGTATGAACTAGATTTTAGGGTACATTAAAAATCAGAGCGTATTTCAGATGACAAGTACACTTCAGAGCAATTAGAGTATTTAATATGGACTTTGTAGGCCCAGGACCCTGAAGGGAATAAGAAAGCCCATTAAATCAGATTAAATAATCATGCCTAAATATAAAAGTGTAGCAGAATCCAATTGTTAAATAACAACACTATTAAATTATAATGGAATAGTTTTGTTTAGATGTTGTCAGTGCAACAGGTAACTATTTTATTATTGAACAACAGTACTGATACTTTTTGAACCTACCTAATTTGGGCTCTAAACTCAACTGGTGTAAATTTAGGAGCTGTCACTTAAATTCCAGCAGATTGCTTCTGCTGATGCACTGGCCTAGTTTTTTAATCATTTTCAGTTTGTTTCGTAAGAGGAACAGGACCATCAGGCAGACAGCTACCCAGAGCATCTAGAAATTTCAGTTTTATGACAACTGGTTTAATGCTATCTAATGTGGGAAGATTTTAAGCAGGAGCTCACTAAGCCCGTTTTGTACGGATTAGTGCTAGTCAAGTGATTCTCTCATGTTCTCTGCCACTCCTGCCTCTTCACAGGACCAAATTTTCTCTTTTGGGAGCATTTATTTTCCATGCCCAACATGTTTCATTAACTCTTTCTACATTTTCTTCTTTCCTTGAAAAACAATAAAGGGGACAAATCAGCAAATGCACAACCTGTCACCTGGGAAAACTAACAGTGGCATCCTATAAACCTCATATTTTCCCTTCTAGGATGGTAGTGGAATCACAGGGCCTAAGGATGTGGGCTTTTTTCCTTGAGAAAACTGAAGGTTGGTTTCCAGGGTGTATTTGCTTATTGGCAGTGTAAAATTAGAAGCCTGTTTTCCACCAGAGATAGTTAGGAAGATAATAATCTCTGATGGCAGATTAGTATTACGGTACTGTGTGTTGTGTAACCTTATCTAGGTGTTCCTGCTCCGGCAGGGGGATTGGACTAGATGATCTTTTGAGGTCCCTTCCAATCTCTAACCTACTGTGATACTGTGATACTGTGATACATTTTGCACCAGCCAACACGTTGTGACTGCATTCTGTTCACTGCATCAAAATAACACTTTGTTCCCAGTTTAAGACCAGTTCTTGGTATGTTGACCATCCTTGCTTTCTCTTCTGCATGGTTCTCTCCTTATCTCTCTTTTTGCTGAAAGTCCCCTATCTATGCGCACAACCATTCACTTGGTCGCATGGTAGGTTCTAGCAGAGTAAGAGCAAGAGTGCTTAAATGAGTAAAGCTCTATGAGCTTGGCAGGACTCACAGAAAGTATCCCCCTTTCCTTTTCTCACCCTCCTGTCCCACACCCAGGGATTTCCCAGGCCCACACCATAAGCTTCAGTTGAAAAATGAGAGATTGCTTTCACTTATATTCACTTGCTATTGCACCAGTCTAGACTGGCGAATTCTAAGAGGCATGGGAAGGAAAGTAAGTCTGTGTGCAAGCATATACAGGGTACTGCAGAGAGGAAAAAAAAAGGTGATGGCTGGGGGACATGCTGCTCCTGTTAAGCCACAGCCACAATACTATTTCTGTGAATGGTGGATGTATATGTGCTTTAGAAATGTCTCATTGAAATCAGAATCCAACCTCAAGTGCTGCATTGGTATCACCAGCAGGATTATGTCTGTAAATGAGGGAAGGAAGTGAGAAACAGAAAAGTACTAGTAACAACTGGAAAGAACAGAAAGAAGAAGAGGTCCTACAGTCCATTTTCTCTCCAGAGCTATTTTTTTCTTAAAAATCCCATTGCCTTTCCTCCTTAACTATGTGGCATGTGTCACAATCTGATTATAGTCATTTATATCAACATAACCCTTCCACAACACAGGTCTTTGCAAATTACATCATGAGAAACTGTAGTTCATTTCCATTTCAGTAGAGCTTGTTAAACAAGCAAAATTATTTTGTAGCAAAGGGAAAAACAATTTAGTGGAATGCACTCCTAGTATAGGAAGTACATAACATCATATTTGGGTCGAAACTTTTTCTGTCAGAAATGTCATAACCCCATAAGAAAGAGAATTAAAATCCCGTTATTTTAATTTACATCTAGCCATGAGATAAGTAAAGTTATCATTGAAATTCTAATTAAATAGGATGATTGACTAAGGTAGGACATCAAAGAAGAGAAGTGAATATGATAAGTCAAAGTCTTATTAATTAGTCTGCGTGGAAGAAATTCCTGGGACGTCAAGCTGAGGCTGCTGCAAGGAGAAAAAAAGCAGACAAGAAAATGTGTGTTTCTTTGAAGTTAGGAACTGAGATAGTGATGGAGGTAATTGTGTCTGACTGGATCCAGTAATGAAGAGCTGTAAATCAGACCTAGGAATCGGAGGAAAGATTCTAGTAACGAATGTGGCTGCCCCCCTGCTGCGAAGAAACAGAATGCAGAGCTGACTAATTGACCCAGTCTATCTCCCAGTAGCTCTCTGTTATTATTTATTAATTTTTAATTTCTGAATTATTTACGTTCTGGGAAATTATTTTTGACAGCCTGTTAGGCGTGCCAAAGTTAATGGAGGATGAAAGGACCGGTACTAGAATTAGCAGGGATGTAGTCACAGGCTACTGAATTTAATGATTTTGGAAGGGAAAATTGATTTCACACAGCGTGTCACTTTATACTACTTTAGGGATACACCAGCTATTTGATTAATTGAGGAATAACCAACTCAAAGTATATTTGAAGTGTAAATGAATCACAGTGCTCAGCTGTTTATTTTTCCCCTTTTCTGATGAGAACACTGAGTTTGCTTAAAGTTGCTGATTAAAACCAATACAGG